GTCATCCTTCCTTGTGCAAGTAGTACAGCCCCCAAGCTAGAGACTGTCCCACTCTCGCGACTCCACAGCGAGCGAGGAGCGAGCTACCGCTGAAAGTTCTAGTTCTAACGCCCGCTCAGTTGGACCGCCCACTTGCTAGATGCCCTCTGACGGAGGGCCGCTCAGTTGTTCTTTGTTGGGGCGGCGGGCATTAATCGGCATTGCATGTCCTTTTTGCTGACCACGCTCGTGCCCATGAATAATTCTGCTTTCCTTTATTACATTTTATTCATTAGGAGCACATACAGTCAACTGCAACCCATCTCGCAAGGTAAAACGCGTAAAAATCACGAGCGACCCAAATTTTTGTGGTGCAAAAGCTCGACGCACTAAACTACACTAAAAGATGCACGCTACCGTAACCCTAAATTCGGACGCCGAGTTTTTGAAAGTTTATTTTCCTTTTCAAGAGTTTTTCTTCCGTGTTTTTGTTGTTTTTCGTATTCTTTTTTGCATTGGATGATATCCTACTGGGAGATGTGATAAAGGGATTTGTGAGCCAGGGGTTGCACAGAGACCGCAGGGCGGTGTGACTGTCAGGGAGCGATTTTGTTTATGGTGTTCTTGAGAACTCTTCTTGCTTTTTTTCTTCTTTGGAGAATTACTTATCAGCTACTGTTTCATAATTTAAAAGCAATTATCCATGACACTTTCGAGAGCTGTCTTGCAACATAGGCGTCTCGACTCGTACTGGAACATATGAATCAGATAGATGCTTCCGAAGCCCTTGCATTAATTCCTTTATTGGTGAGCTGGGTAATAACGCCGTCATGAAACCTCCAAAAATTTGATACTGTCATTAAATACATCAAAATAAATATCAATACCTACCACGGGCGGGAAGGGGTGAGCCTGCAGCGGTATATATGAAGAGAGAACTGTCCAGCATCCCCCCCCCCCAGTACCACGCGAATAACCTCAGGAGATCACGTGGTTCTTTGTTTTGATTTGTGACTCAATGCGATGGATTTTCCGCTCTTCCATGGTTTTCTTCTCCAGAGGTCGTACTGAATGTCCATGTAGAACACTCACATCGAATGAGTCCTCATTCACATGTTTGAGGGTACGATGCTTGGAGAATGCGCTGCGTGAGTAGGCGACGGGATAGACCGACGCTCTTCTGCGTGCGTCCGGAAGTTCATCCAGTTCGCCTGTGTCGTTCGTTTCACAACAAAAGTTTCTTCGATTTGCGAATTGTACTCTAGAAATAGAACTGTGCCCGGGTGTTTTAGACCGCAACAGTATTAGTTGTTGTTGCAGAGGTCGTATCGTGACAGTGACGAGTGTATGTGCTCGCCTTGGGTTTATGTGTATTGGACCATACACTACTGCTAAATTTGCCGTGGCGGGATATTGCGATGTTATCAGGTACTTTGCTCTCTTATTGGAGACCCACATAATTTTGAAAAATTACAGGCAGGAGATGCGGTTGTCCGGTGTTTCGGTGCATGTAATAGAACCAGGATTCTTCAAAACTAATCTCACAAAAACCGAAACTATAAATGTTAGCTTAAAAGAGCGTTAGCTTGCTTATCCACCTTAACCTGGGCAGAATACTGGAGGTGTTGATTACAGAGGCAAGTGAAGCAACTGTATGACAGATGTTCAGAGGACGAGAAGTGTGAATATGGCTACGACTTTTTCAAGGAAGGTACGTTTTCTAGCCTCGAGATACCATTACAGTCCAAGTTTAGTACCGCAATAACTGCGAGCCGACACCATACGCATTGGTACATACCGCGGTAGCTCAGTGTGGTTTTACTTAGAAATAGGCATAGAGGTATTAAAAGGCTTGTTTTCAAAGGCAGAGGGAACGATAATTGGGTTACGGGAGCAGAGGCATTCGATAGTGTTACAGTAGAGCCAAAGCTGGGCGAAGGGCCGAAAACGCCCGAAGTAGGACCCTTATCGACTGCTCCAGTCAGGAAGTGTACGAGTCTACGCTTGAGATCAAACATAGTCGTCCAAGATCAATGGGAAAATGCGGCGACTGCAAAGGAAATATGAAAACACCTTGTTCAAAGCGTACTAAGCTTCACGACGATATCATTGGGGGTCTTGCATTGCATCATTGGGTGCAAAGACATACTGAGAACATTTTTCCGAAGCGGCTGTCGAGAACTCGCGGGAATCAAGTGAGGAAGCCGAAAAAAGTACAAGATGTCTAAAACTCTAACACAGGCATTACTCGCAAAAAAACCTGCTCTCTGGCGAAGAGTAGCTTTTGGTTACCAGTAACAGCTTGTCCCTTCGGAGGAAAACCATGAAGACGGGAAAGAGCGTCATTCAGCCGCAGAATGCGGGCGAAGACACCGATAGTGATCAATTGCTGATCGATGCGGTCATTTGTGGGCGTGTCGTTGTTGAAGAGATATGCCTCGGTGAGATGCATAGGGACTGCTTTTCTATGGAAAAGACGTCAGGTCAGGCCTGCTAGGGGTCTGAATTTTTCGTTGATTGGCGTATTGATATTAAATGCCTAGAGGACTTATCGTGCCTCTTTGCTTTCAAACAAGTATATCAAGCCCTCATTTTGAGCTGTCGGCCTTTGACGTCACAGTCAGTGGTGCTCCCGCTGCTTATTCAGTTACTGCGGTCGAAGGCAGATTCCGCGCCAACGGAGATCTTCAATCAAATCTTTAAGTAAGTGTGTCTACTATCACCAAGGTGTACCCTTTCGGCAGTTTGAAAGCGCCCAGCGAAATTCGCTATCTTATGACTCTTGCTTAGGCCCATGAGACCCATGCTGGATCGCCATGGTCACAGTGGCTCATGAATAACTACTCATGACAAGATAAGGCAGGAGCTGATCGAGACTCCAATGATGAATCTATTACAGGAGAGTTACTATCTTTATGCATCTCCTGTGGCATAGTCGTCATTGGTCGATCGCGGCAGTGCGCTTATGAGGTTTTGCGGACCTAACTTGATCCTCGACAAGAAATAGGACAACATGGTTTATCCTTCTCAAGCACGAGAAACCGCGAGGCATTAGTTTGGCTTTCATCAGAGTGCTTCACGCCAAGTTATACCAAACAAAGTGACATCAGATGCTCAATTGTAAGAAACCGTTCAAACTAATTTTCAACAACTTACTTCCTTAGAGGCGGAATTAGAGCAGTGGGGAGTGGCATGCTTACAACGCGCACGGTCCGGGGCTCGATCCAACTCCCAAACCAAACCTTTTGCGTTCTCGGCACTTCAAAAGCGACTATGACTCAGAATGGAAGTAGAATACGTACCGCATCCCCTCAAAGGATTCATCAACTAATTCACCATTTTTCTCTTCTCCTCGAAACCAAAGCTTAAAGGCACATTCCGCGATAAAATAAGGCTATGACCTCTCAAATGTGTCGGACGATCCGGAAGGCGATTTTTGAGGCTGCGCTACTTTCAAAATGTGAAAAACGGCAAGAACTCCGCTAGAAGCTGACTAATTAGGCCCATGGACACCCCTTAGGCCCATG